CTATAGCTATTTCTTGATCTCCAGGGTTTCCACTCTTTGCCCATCTAAGCATTGAAAACACTTGCTCCAGTCTTTTATACCCCACTCACATGCCCTTTTCAAATTCTAAATTGAAAATTTCTCCACCAACTTCAATGCACCCTCTATCTAGATACTGTATATAAGCACCTCATTCAGATAATGTAATCACTTTTTCGAGGCATAAGCCAGCTTTTAATGGGTAGGTAGGGTGGGAGAGTGTCAGCGGAGGTAAGTATTATTGGAAATACATTATCAGTTGAGGAAAATGTGAACTTTCAAAACATATTTACCTCTGCTGACACTATTGCTTGAATCCCACATTGAAAAGGTGGATGGGCCGATGCAGGCATGAACCATACAGAAAGCATCTGTATAGAACAGAAGTGTACCAAGATAAAGATGGTACAGGAGTGGGGGAACCCACAATGATTAACAATATCCTCTTCAGATTGTTCAAAAATAGTATAATATGGTAACTTATTAGTAGAATGGTTAGCAACATACAAAAAAATCACTCAACATGTTACAAAAAAATAAAATAAACAGTTTAATCCTAGGTGTTACTGCCATCTCTTGAGTAGTCATGCGAACTTCAAGAAATATGCTCAAACACCACATATAATTAATTATAATTTCATCTTCATTAATGACAAAAAAAAGTTCATTGTCTACAGTACATCTTAAATATTAAGGTGAATGAATAAACTGAATCACAAGGCAATCACAATTTCATGCAAAAAAAATACTTAGTTGGCAAATTTTGATGGAACAACAACAAAAAAAAAACAAACTTAGTTGACAAGAGTGCTGCTGAAATAAGTCAAACTGAAATTTGAAAACATTTTCAACAACAGTCCATACTAAAAAGAAGACAAGAAAGTAACTGCACTTCCCATGATGAATTGTTTTTCTGTAATGTTGTATGAGAAACATGAAGAGAAGAAAGATGATTCTCCATAGATGTCTCAAGGCACAGATTATCATGACACCATTGTAGAACAATGATTCTGCACAGACAAATATAATATAAAGACATCTCAGGCAATTCTCGAGAGAGAGACCACCCTTTGGCACCAATGTGACGATGTTATTCTGTAACATTTTTGACTAGGTAAACACTATAGTTTAATAAGTATGTAATGATATGATAACATGTAATGATAATGTGCCAACATCTAAAGAATGAAACAATGCTAAATAAAGCTTCCCCTTTCCCTGTGTAAAAAAACAAACCCTGATCTTTAAACAATACAGGATTGGTGATCTGAATAAAATGCATGTATGCACACAACAGTATAGAATGATTGATCACTGTCTAAGACAGGTAGTGGCTGCAGTAGCTTAGTTTAGAGATGGGCTTTATACACTGATTGAGAATAATGAAACACATTGAAAATCTTTATCATAATCTTTGACACACCCTATACAATGTATAAGACTTTCTGATTAACATTTGTGATTATCAATGTGCCTCTGATGAAATTTAATTCTCCTAGAGAATGTAGGTTTTAAGATATGGCTGTTTTAAACCTTTTCTGGATACCCCCACTAAAATCTAAGCTTATTTTTAAAATAAAAAAATACTATGTAAAAGATTTTGAAATTTTCAATATATTGTTAATTTACTGAGGAAAAATATATACTGACTTTGCTAAGAAAAACAATATTCTTATTTTCATTTTATCAAAATATTTTTACACATTCATTGTGGTTGTATTTCTTTAAGAAAAACTTAAATAAGAATATTTTTTACTCACCTAAAGGAGTGACAAACACCATCAGTCACTAGAGCTACTAACTTACGAGTGGTTTTACACAACCTTAGAGAATTTCCTAACACCATACAACCAAGAGCACACAAATTATTGGTTGCCATAGTAACATAAGCTTGATCATCTCTTTCTGTATCTGGTTGAGGTAGAACCAAATCTTTGGTACATTCTGCACTTTTGTTAAAGTTGTTGGAAACTGGAAAATCATTTTGTCTCTGTTGTTGGGGAGATTTCACATGGATATTGTTTCCTCTGAAACTCTGTTGATGTGCTGACTCCTGCTCTTCAAGGGATTGCTCAGAAGAATGAGAGGACTGTCGTTCTAAATGTCCAGCTGAATAGGACCTTTGGAAATTCTTTGCAGTTATGCCGGCATCAGACATGTATCCACTTTCACTATGAATTGACTCTGTAGAATATGAGTTAATACATCTCCCTCGAATAAATGATTGTTCAGCAAAATGACAAGCAGGCTCTCTTGACATCTCTTTGGGCTCTTCTTTTGGAACTTTTCTCAAACAAGATTTTTGGTCATGAAGATGTGCTTCACTTTTTGATTCTTCATTATTTTTGTAATCATACTGCTGTTCATCTGAATAAGTGTGTGTTGGCACATCACTTCTTGCATCAGCTGTTGACTCTTGTTTTGCAGCTCTGAAAGTCTGCATGGAATGCTGCAATCTTTCTTTTATGCACCAGAAACACTGCTCACTTTCCTCCTCTCTTCCTGATTTTACCACATCTACAACAACACTGTCCAAAAACTCCTGCATCACAGCAATATACTTCAACAAAGTTCTGGAACAGGGTTTACATAAACCTCCATGTTTTTTATCTGATGATAATCCCTCATTTTTGTTTTTATCTTCTTCATCAGGTGGTCCTTCACTAATACCATCCAATATTGTTTGAAATACATTCTCATGTAAACTCGAAGGTTTATCAGCATGTTTTTTACAAGTTGGCTTAACTGTTATTGATTTGACTGAGCATGCATCATTTTGAAAGTGATAAGCATCATGCTGCCCTTCCTCATCTGCTGACTTTTGTACAACTTTTTTGTTTTCGAGTTTTAGGCTTTCAGTTCCTCCTTTTTTTTTTCTACTTACATTCAAGTTATCACCATCAAATAAATTTTCTGCCAGTAATATACTAGGTTCACTAATTTCTAGCTTATGAGTTTGTGTGTCATTCTTTTGATCTTTCTCAATTTTTGTTTCTTGTATACCATCACCTGTTCCCTCTTTGCTATATTCTACTCTTGTTTCTTCAGGTTCTATGATACCATTTGGAGGAGTAGAGTAAGCATCATCTGGGAGACTTTCAACTTCTGTTAAACTGCTATCAACTTCGGAATCACCAGTGTGGTCTAATATTAGTCCAGAGTCCTCAGCTCTTCCACATACTCCATGTTCAATGCTGTTGGAAACTTGAAGCCGAGAAGATACATCTTCTGGGTTAAGTTCAGATGTCCTAACCAGAAAATGTTATAATAAAAAGGAAAAATAAGTATACATTTACTTCGAAACATGCACTTTGTGAAACTACAGAATATTTCATTGTAGCCACTAATACTAAGCATACAGTGAATTACTTCAATATACACAAGACACATATATCAAATATTACCAATCTATTAGTAATATACCACTACATTAAATAATAATGAATAAAAACTGATGAGGTAAATTTTTTATGGAACAGTTGCAAATCATGTTGTGTAAATCTTTTTCCAATTATAATAATTTCAAAAATTATTGGTTATTTTATTTTGTGAAATGACAATACATTGATATGGTGTTGTTTTTTTATTACACTGAAGACACATAATAAAGTAACTCAAGTTTTTGTCATCAGATGGTTGTTCAAAAATGTCAGTGTCTTATTTCATTTACACTGTCATTGGGCAGTTGAAGTGAATATGTTGACTACTTTTTCACTGTATAATACAGTGTATTTCAACTATTTGTGCGCTACCAATGGACTATCTACACGTACTAGTTTTAAAAATAGTAAAAGTTGGCTTTCTTTATTTGATAGTTAAAAATGGTAATCCACTACACTTCGATTAACAACAACAATGCGAAATTATCGATTATGTGAAAGATATGGAGAGTTGGGAAAACTGTACTTGAACTTGTACAACTACAACTAATTAGAAATATTAATCATTCAATCTGCAAGGTAAATAAATTACGTATTAAAATCTTTATCATTTTAGTCGTTATAAAGTAAAACTAAAGAAAAAGCAAGTACCAGTTATTAAAATACAGTTACTCTGAGTTAGTGATTTTTTGTTAAGAGCTTATAAGTATACAAGTTATATTAACAATGAATCACCGACTAAGGGCATACCTAGCCACATTCATTGGAACTAAACTTCGCTGGGAAAACCAGGAACATTCACTTGATAATAGCACAGATCCTGACAAAGTTGCAGCAACGTTGCTGTTGATGGTTGTTACCGGTATCAGCACTGCGGCAAAATCTTCGGCCTCTTCTTCTTGCCGAGTTTTATGTTCTTCAAAATAATTTTCTTTTTCATTTACTACAAGCTCTGTAAAATAGTCTTGACGATCTATTTCACTAAACTCATCATCTGTGTCTTCACTGCTTCCTACCTGAAATATTACCCGTCTTTCTGCATTTTCAAAATCATATTCATCGCTCACGAAAGATATATCGTTATAACATGCCTTTTGCCGAAGAGAATTCGCGCCCTCTAGTGAAACACTCTGTATTCGAGGTTGAATATCTGTGAAATCGTTGGATTTCTCGGGAGAACTGTGTTTAGTCTGGCTATTTGAAGGTATCTCAGAACAAGATATTCTGGGGCTAAAACTATCTCTTTTCATCTCCCTTATATCTGAGTTGTGTGATGGAGGTTCTTTACCCTGCTGTGAAAATGTAAATTGAGGTTTCTGTCTGTGTTTTCCAAGAAAGACATACGTTGTATAACATAATGCTGAAACTGCAACGGCAAGTGGAACAGTAATGCTTGGGGAAAACAGAAACTCCGACATTACAAGTTAACGTTCAGAATCTGTAAGACTGACATTACTATTAAACGTGTAACTGCTTCTTTGCGCTCTTGTCGCTTCACGTGTTGAACACGCGAAGAACTCCTGGCGTTGTATCAACAGAATTTTACATTTCGAGTATCATCATGTTAACAGAAATTTGCTGACAACACAATAAAGTTTTATTTCATTCGAATTTGAGCTTTCCCAAACCATACATTTCACCTGTTACTAAGAGACAGGACATTTGGCAAACTAAACAATTGTTTTTCTCGAAGCTGTTGGCTCGTAAACAAGAGTTTATTTGTTTGTTTTGAATTTCACGCAAAGCTACGCGAGGGCTATCTGCGCTCGCCGTCCCTAATTTAGCAGTGTAAGACTAGAGGGAAGGCAGCTAGTTATCACTACCCACCGCCAACTCTTGGGCTACTCTTTAACCAACGAATAGTCACTTTATAACGCCCCCACGGCTGAAAGGGCTAGCATGTTTGGTGCGACGGGGATTTGAGCCCGCGACCCGCAGATTGCGAGTCGAGTGCCCTAACCACCTGGCCATGCCGGGCCCGTAAACAAGATACTGTTCTGTAGTTTGAATTAACTCTATTACATCATTGCTTTAATCACCTCATTTTCTTTCGTTGCTGACGCTTACGACACAATAATCACGCAAACTGAGCAGAATGCCGGAGTTTGAGCATATTGTAAGCTTGAAGAGAAATAAAATAACTCGAAATTAAGTAAAGTATGGCTAAAAGAGTTGTTAAAATTGCGGACAAAGCTGAAATATCTTATTTTATTCTAAAATTCGAAGCAAAAAGTAATATCTAAGATTTAAAAGATTTCTCCGATAAAATTCTACAAAATATTACCCCAAATCGGTCGACGATCTTTTTATTTCTCGGAAATTAGAAAATTTTCTCTTTCCACCTTCGGCAAAATTCCATTGATGTTTAAATTATAATAGAGAAGCCGTTTAACTAATGGTCTATCATTGGTCACAAGACATTATTGGGGGAGTGGTATAAAGTTTTGCTTTACACAGTTATACCAATATTAACTGGTGTTTTGTGTTCCACATGTAAAATATACCCTGCTCTTTCTTTAATATTAGTTTCATTAGCAATGTTTGTGACCTGACATGTGCTGGCGGTGAAGAGTAATGTGCGAGTCGCGGGAGCAGATCATATCACCGAACATCTCGTCCTTTCAGCTGTGGGGTCATTATAACGTGATGATCGATCTAACTATTTGTTGGTTTTGTTTGTTTGTAATTAAGCACAATACTACCCAATTGGCTATTTGTACTCTGCCGACCACGGGTATCGAAACCCGGATTCTAGCGTTGTAATTCCGCAGACATACTGCTGTGTCACTGGGGGGGGGGGGGTAGTTATTCGTTAGTGAACAGAACCC